CGCGGCGCCAGCAGGCGCCGATGGCGATGACGGCGACGACTGGGTCCCGGAAATGCCGCTGGAACGCGCGACCTGGGCCGCGCCGCGCCCGGAATCCGGATCTAGTTCTGGATCCGGATTGGGGCCCTTACCGAGCCGTAGCCGCAGTCGGCGGCGGTACACTTTGTCGACGGCGTCTGCGTTGGTGGCTCCAGGACCCGCTGAGCCAGACAACACGGTCATGGTGATGGGGGCTGGTACGGCAGCAACGACGCATTTGGGAGTCAAATCGATTTCTGCCAGCGTGGACATGTTTAGCAGCCGGAGCCGGAGTCATGGGCAAATACGGCTGAGTAACCTGGGCCGCAGGAGTGGACAACGGGGCATCGGCAGCACGGCAGCGGCGGCGGCGGCCGCCAGCGCAAACACACCAGTGTCCATTATTGCGCCCGTCGTACATAACGGCGCAATGCCCCGGTGGCAGTGGCCGCCGCCGCCGCTGCAGCTGCCGCCGCCACCGCAGGAGCCGGAGCAGCGGCCGTCCGCGGCCCCGACACCGCACTCGGCGCCGCTGCCGGCGGCGCGGCCTCATCGACCCCCCGGCTTTGAGAACGAGGAGCGCGCCGTCTAGTGCGCGGATCCAAACACGGTGGCGGCCTTCAAATTCACACCCACAAAGAAAGCACTATCTTCAATTGCGCTTTTGCTTACCGACAATTCAGCAGTTGCTTGTTGAGCTGTACGGCAGCATGGCGCAGTACGGCAGTGGAACACTTCGAAGTGGCCTTCCGCCACCCCTCTCACCTCGTGCGTCACGAGGGCCCCAAGCTCGTGGAGGTGGCAGTGCTCTCGACGGCACCGGTGGCATGTGGAAAGTGGAGAGAGGAGAGGTAGAGGCGTGGCGACAGCTAAACGTTCTGGGGGTGGGGATGGTGTGAGGACGTCGTCTAGGGCCCTCGAGGAAAGCCAAACACGACCGCCTGGGTAGTTTAAACATGGCGCAGAAAGTGACTGGGTTTTGTAAGGTTTTGAACATGGTCGCTGCTACTGTCATCGCTGCTGCTGCTGCTACTGCTGCTGCTACTTCTCCGACCTGGCATTGAGATGGGAATGGATTTTTTTGTCGGTCCGACCGCATTGGGCTCTGAGGAGCAAATGATAACGTCATGCGATTACGTTGTATAGAGGACATGAGAGGTATTGCAGCGGGTGGTGAAAAAACACCTGCAAGGGGCGCCCACAATGCCAACCTCAATTGCGGGTTATCGATGCAATTGGGAGCACTTTGCGCGTGTTAATTTAAATACCCGTTTCGCGCTCCGTTTCGCGTGGTTTGAATGACTGAGCCGCGAAATTTAAGGGTTGGAGAAGTTATATTCATAGCGCGTTTGTGTCTTAACGCGCGAGTGCGCGCGCGTTTATGTGTGTGTGTATGTGTGTGTGTATGTGTGTGTGTCTGTTTGAACTTTCAAAGCTGGGAGTGAGTGGCTCCCGTGCTTGGTCGCCCCATTTACAAGGAACTTAACTTAGGGTTTCATGCCGCCGCGTGCACGCTACATGACTAGAGGGCGCTGGCGAGTTTTGGCTGTTGCACAAGTGCTCGTAGGATGTTAGTATGTTAGGACGGCACAGGCAACCCATTTGTTACATACTAGTTAGGAAGGCGTACATGGGTCTCGTTGGACGAAAACGTACCTCCTCGTACGTGCACGCACTTTCCACACTCGGAACGTGCGGAGACGGCTCTGTTTGTTGGGCGCGGAGCACACTGCGGTTTGGAGTTGTACGGAGAAAAACATAGTTGCATATCTACACAGTGGTCGTGCACGCTGAGAGATGCATATGATGATGCGAATACGTCCTTTCGTTGAGGCAATTGTTACGAGCTGATAAGCCGTTGCATTACCGTTAATCACCGACGTGGGAGGCTGATTGGTTCCGGGCGACAACTTACTGCGAGGCCGCCGCCAACCTCCTTGACGTGTTTCGTGCCATTGCCAACCAACCTGCACATGACACATTTCTTTTAGGCTTCTGGAGCCTGAAAAGTGCTGGCTATGAGTGAATGTTGGCCATGGCGGCCATCCGTTCCTGTGCAGAAGCGAGTAATGAAGGAATCGCCGCGCGCGCCGTGCTGTGCTGTGCTGTGCTGTGGCGCACAGCCGCCAACATTATCGCGGTGACCGCCCAAGGGCGTTGCGTGGCGGGCTGCTACGCACTGAATGATGTTCGGTGTGGCGCGTGTTCGGTTTTAGTTCTATTCACGTCGGCTTGTGGCTTTGGACGCGATCTGTGTCACTGCGCATGATGCATGTGCCACCATTGGGTATTTATCTTTGCGTGTGAGTATGCATATGTGCATGTGTCTTCGTGTTGGCTTTTACTTACATGCGGATTTTGTGAACGCCTTCTGGGCTTAACAGCCTCTATCCTTGCCCCTCTGGATTGCTGGAGAGGCATGTCTTGTGTTGGTTTTAGAATTCGACAACCGGCATGCAACGGTGCATGGCAACCTACTTACTGTCATTCACTTTTCATGTCGGATTTTTCTCTCATAATGCATGACGACATCAATTGAAGAACTGCGGGAACATGATGATACCATACACAGAAACGCAAACACATGCACATTTGCTGAGAGAACCCAGTCACCCGCTCGCGCGTGCCAGTTGGGAGTGGCGTTCTTTGTTTTCCTTGTATGCACCGCCCTTTAACATGCGTGCATTCAAGCGAAGGGGGCCCAGGCAGGCACTGAAGGGTAGTTGGGTGGGCTGACGGCGGACGACGGCTGGGTAGGGGTAATTAGAGACTGGGCAGACGGGGAACCAAGGCGGCCTTCCCCACGGCTTTTTATTACCTGCCAAAGTTCTTCCTCTTGAAGACCAGATCTTTCCTGATGCTGTACCTCCAACGCTGGGAGAAGCAGAGGTCGGCCGGAAGCTGCGGCAGATGAATACAGACTAGATGCAATTCAGTTGCGTCAAAGCAGGCAGTATCCGGAGGCAGTAGCTGCATGTGTCGTTTCCGCTAGCTCACACTCGCCTGTTGTGATGGATGGTTGCCATTGCCGTTGTTCGTGTATGTGGCATGATGAGTGGTGGACTGATTAGCAGATGCGAATGCGATATGCCGGAGTATATCTGATGTGTGCTGATTTCAGGTGTAGATATGTAGAGATAAGGTCTGGTTAAAAATGTAAGGACGTGAGCTTTACGATCCTTCTCTTGTGATCGCCACTCCGTAGCTACTCCAGCACCGGCAGAAAGTCCCGGCCGCAGCCCGGAAGCCGCCCACCTCACCTCACCTGCTCGACAGCCATGCGTAACACCACTCCACAACACAGCCTAGCCGCAGTTCCTTCCCGCGGGACATCAGTCCATCAGAACATCCTCGTGCCCATAGCCCTCAGCCTGCCTTGCCATCGCCCCCTCCCGACCTGATGTGCTACACGATTGCACGCCAACACCCAACACTTGCGCCGCGCCGCGCCGAGCTCCCGCCTTCCCCACTGCACCGCCAACTGCACCGGTGGCGTGGCTGCACTGCCGCAACCGCGTAAGCCCCGTGCTTGCCGCCACATATAGTGTGAGTGTACAGGCCTACGATCCACTCGCTACTGACAATTTGGTATTTTCATTGCTTATCAATTACCGCTTGTCGTGCACCACAATGTTGCCTAGTAACATACGCGCCTTGCGGCTTTGGCGACGGCTGTGCTCCCCCTTCTTCACAATGTCCTCCGACCATCAACAGGTCGACGAGGTAGTCTCACATCCGCAACTGTCCCTAGGGGGGTAGATCGTCTTGCATTAGACAGCACACAGATATGATGTCGTGACTGCACGACCAGGACGTACGAGTCTCTGAAAGCGCCTGGAAAACATAAAACCATTCCTGAACTGTGAACATAAAACCATTTCTGTGGTGTCACGGCCGACAGCCCGCGAGGCGACCGTTTCAGCGGCGCTTCACTGTTTGGTCATGGCAGCCTGCATGCGCGCCTTGAGCGCCAAGATCTCAGCCCCGAAACCGCCCATGACGGCGGGAGCAGCTTGCGGCTGCTGGGGTGCCAGCGGCACAGCCATCGCAGCCACCGCTGGCACGGCCCCATTCTGTTGCGCTTGTTGCTGCTGCAGCCGGCCGAAAGCGTTGATATTGCCGATCGGCACTTGATGCTGCTGCGGCTGCTGCTGTGGGGATAACAGCACGCCGAAGGCGTCAAACAGGCTGCTGGCCTTGGGGCCCTGCCCACCTCCTGGCGCAACCCCCGGCCCCCCGCCCACTGCGCCTAGCCAGCTAATCGATAACGAAGCCGACGCCTTTCCCCCAAAACCCAAGGGACTAACGACTGGAGCCATGTCCTTGTCATTATCCGCCATAACCACGTCGTCTCCAGAGTCCGTATCCTGCATCATGGAGCCAAGGCCAGCGCCGCATTGTGGGGCGGCGCTCCCACAGTACGAAACCGCCACCTTTGCGGTGGCCGCGGTCGTCCGGCCGTCTCCATCGCTCTCCCTGTCCCCGAGATCCGTTGCCGAGACGCCGCCACCGCAACTGCCCCAGCCGCTGCTGCTGACCTCGGCTAGGGGACCCCCAAAGAGTAACCCCGCCTGAACCCCAGCCGAACCCGCCGCGCCGCGTGGGCTGTTCGATGGAGGAGGCGCGGCCATGGCGCTGCCAAACATGAGCGCCTGGCTCACTAACTCCCCCTCCGCAGCTAGCAAACCAAAATCGTCGTCCGCATCCGCTACATGAAGAGCGCCGTGCGCTGCGCCGGTTCCGCCTCCGCCAGCTCCCAAAGGACGGATTGTTTCCAACGAAGACTGAGGGGATGCGCCCATCATGGGGCCCACAACCCCGGCAGGAGGGAACATAGTTACCAGCCTATGGTGGCTGCCGGAGAGGCCATGCCCGCCGTCCTTGCTGTCATAGTCATCGTCATCCAGTAGGTTGCACAAGTCGAACCGCCGTCTTTCGCCCGACGCCAGTTCACCGCCGCTGGTGGCTGCTGCGAGGGACAGCCCCAGCTCGCCCGCCGCTTGGGAGCTTGCATCAGCAGCACCGCTGCCTGCATGTGTTCCTGTGGCGGCGGCCCATCCCCCTGCCGCGCAAGCCGTGTTACCACTGCCAGCGCTGTCCGTACCCTGGTGTTCTCCAAACAGCAATGATTCTGCCGCCGCGGCCACTGGCAGCGCCGCTGCATCCGAGCGCGACCTTTGCATGACTGCTGACGAATCACTGGCATCGCCGCCACTGCTGCTGCCGCTGTTACGACTGTGGTTGGCATGCTGCTCTGTGAGTGAGCTACCTGCGCTGGCGACGCTGTAGAAGCTGCTTGGCTGCTGTTGTTGTTGCTGCTGCTGCGTTTGTTGCTGCGATTGTTGTTGTTGTTGTTGTTGTTGTTGAAGGAAAACTGCGTCAAGGGCACGGCGACGGGAGGGTACCGAGTCAGGCAGGGCAGTTTGCTGCTGCTGCTGGTGTGGCGGCGGTGGCATCCAGCCAGGCTGCCGTGCAACGCCAGCTGCCACCCACGCCTGTGATGTTGACGAAGTCGCAACAGTGGGGCCACCGCCCGTGGTGGCGTTTGGCGCCGCAGCCACACCTCCAAACCAAGGCATTGACGGCCAGACGGGGCCGGCACCGGTGCTGCTTACGTCGGCGTCAATATGGCTAGATGCGGCTGTAGCTCCTGCCGCCGCCTCTCTGAAATCGTTCTCCCCCAATCTGTTCGCCTGCTGCTGCTGCTGCATTATAAACATGCCGGCTTCTAACGATCCCAGCGGCCCCTGCTGCTGCTGCTGCCACAAGGCACCTCGGAGCGGACTGACCGTGCTGCTCGCCACCGCCTGTCCTGCCCGCGTGTCGTACGCACCGGGCAAGTCGAATGATGCCGCATGAACAGTCGGGGATAAGGGCGGCCTTGCAGCGCCCGATACCGCCATAGGGCTGGCGCCGGAACCGTGCAGATTGGCAGGCGGGCTGAACAGGATTGAGGCCATGGCAGCGTTAGCGCTGGCTATGCCGCTGGTCGAACGGGGATAGGATGCCGAAACCGGCGCGGGCACGGCGCCACCGCCAGCGGCCGGGGCATTGGTCGCCACAGACGCAGCCGCTGCTGCCGTCGCCGCTGCTGGCTGCGAGGCCGCTGCGAGGTTGAGGCTACGGAGACGGGCGTGTATCCTGGCCAGCCCATCATCCATAGGCGGCGGCGGTGCAGCGGTCGTTGAGGTCGCCAAGGCAGTTTTGGCCACCGGGGCCGCAGCGCCCCCGCTAGGGCAAGCACTGCTGCCGCTGGCCATGTAAGCGCCTGCGGTGGTAGTGGCAGTGGCAGCTGCGCTCATGTACGCACTCACGTTCATGCCCGTACTTGTGGAGGAAGGACAGGGCGACCCCATCACGACCGAGGGTGCGTCGCTCGACGGAGCAGTAACTGTCTGGGACCCCACACCCAGGCCGGTCGATGATTGCGGACCGGCGGCTGAGGCTTGGGGCCTGGGGCTGCACAAGCTCGGGAAAGGCGCGTTTGCGTTGACCCGCCGTAGTGACGGCAGGGACGGAAGCTGGGGTAGGGCAACAGCAGATGCAAAGATAGAGGCGGGGGCCGGCAGAGCCAGGTGCGCCCCACTCATGATGTCTAGGACGTCGTCATCCAGGCAGCAGTCGTGCCCGGAGAGGTCCAGGGAGCGCTGCGAGATGCCCCGGCTGCTCTCCAGTCGTAACGCCCGAAGCACCGGACCTGCGCCGCATCAGAATGCGTAGATGTGCGTGCGCGTGTGGGGAGTGAGTGGGGATGCGGAAGGTCACCGCACACTTCTAGGACCAAGCTTCATCAAATCACAAATCATCAACTATTTCCTTAGTGATCGGTAATTGAGGCAAATAAATTAAGAGCTACAGGTAACAGAACATTTACAACAATGCCCAAAAGCAGATGTCCGAGGGATGGGACATGAATCCACACAAGCCTATGTGGCCTCCGAGCTCCCAACCCGCGTAACCAGTTACCTTAAACCTCCTATATCTAGCCCACCCCAGCCCACTGAAAGCTCACCATACGCCACTGCCTGCTCCTGGACCTTCCGACTCAGCTGCGCAATCTGGCGACTTGTGTTCCCGTGGACCTGCAGCTGGTGCGCCACATGGGCGGCATGACCGCTGGGATGGCTCGGAGGCTGGAGCAGAGGGGGAGGGCCTACAGGATCACGGCAGAGAGGGGGCAGTGAGGGCAGTGAATAAAGAAAAACACGGCCGATGCCGCACGATGTTAAATAACAAATTTTTTCACCCCCGGCAGCGTTCCTCGTCATAAATAACAGTGCACCAAGGCAACCACCAACAAAGATGAGTGGCATGTTTAATAGAAGTTTAGGCGCAGCGATAAGCAGTTTGAAACCATGTGCTGAAAAGGGTGAACGGGAAATCTGAAGGATGATGGCGCCATGTCCGACTGATGCGGCGATGGCGATAATGGCTGCAATGGCACGCTCACACTTGGTGGTTCAATTGCATATATCCCTCAAGGTTTTGAGTTGGTTTATAGCAACGCCGCGGATTTGCTTGATGGAACTGATAGGCGACACCAGCCAATGAAGACCCTACACAAGCACACACCGTTGCGCTGCACGTCTCCTTTATACTGTCCCTCTTTGCCGGCCGGTAGGCCTTCCGTGATCTATGCTAAAAGCGGACTTGGGCAAACCATCGCCGCGAATGCCACTACCACCACTTGCGTCGCGATACCAAGGGCACAAGGCAACGCGGTGGGGCCCCCTGCTGAAACCCACTCCTCTTTTGCTCACCCGCGTTCTCGCCCGCCATCGCCAACTGCGTCACGTGAGGTGCCAGCGAGCTGAGGAGCGACGCAAACGACATGAAGGCCTTAACAATGTTATCTGGTCCATACGGCATCAGCATGTTCTTCTGCTGCCGCCTCTGCGACTGCTGCTCAAGACCCGTCCCACCGCTGCCACTGCCGCCAACACGTGTTGGTCCCACCGCGGTGTCCGTCCCGCCTGACGCAGCTGACAGCACATCCGCCGCCAGAACCCTTCCGTCTATCTGATACGGATGCAGTACCTGCTGTGGCGGCGGCTGGCCGAAGCCACCAGCGCGCGGTCTGCCGCTACCGGCGGCGGCAGCATCCATACCGTCCACATCCGCAGCGCCGCCATCCGTCATGAGCGCCTCGCTGAGCTCCTTATGCACACGGAGGTGCTCGTGTAGGCCCGCCAATAGCGACGACAGCATTGCCAGAGAATCTGGGTTGGGCCGGGAACCAGGGAGAAGGGACAAGCCCCAGCGGCTGCTGCTATTCTCAAGAGCCTGCTGCTGCTGCTGTGAGGCTGCGGTTCCATTGGGCATCCCCGCTCCACCATTTACTAGGTCCCCGGCGTTCGGACCAGCACCAGCACCAGCACCGCCGCTGGTCGTTTGCGATGCAGGTTCTGAGGTAGAGGCTGTGGCTGCAGCTGCGCCGGAGGAGGTTGTGGGGCTGCTGCTAGGCAGTAAGGGACTCGAGGAGTGCTGGTCAGCACACTGTCCGCCTTCCGGGAACTCCGCCTGCACACCAGCCCACGGTGCGATCCATGGATTCCCAGCCCTTCTCCCACCCACGGACTTTGGCCCCGTGTAAGGGGGAAAAGGAGGGCCCCCTAGCGTCCCCCCCTAGCATTTCCATGCTGGCCCACATGAGAGGACTCTAGCATTCCCGCCAGCATGGGCCAATGCACGGGGCCTACTTCAGTCCCCGTATCTGCGCCCCAATGGATCTTGTGCCGTTGATCCCACGTTAACCAGAACCCTCAACCTCTGATGGCAAGCGGCGAACTGGAACCATCATCCTTGCTCTGTAACAAACCCCTCAGCAAACACCCCGCAGATTGGCAGCAGAAGCAGTACCAACAGCATCTCCTTACCCTAGCTACCTCCTGCTGTCGAATCTCTGCCTGTAGCTCATAGTAACGCCTTTTGAAGGCCAGGCTGCGCTGCTCCATCGCGTCACACACACTTGAGGCCGTGGCTGCACTGACCAGGAAGTCGCTGCAGGCCTGCTTGGCTCTCGTCACGCTGACGGCCAGTCGGACATCTGCGGGGACAAGCGCGTCGTCAAGCAAGCCGCTCCCTACACCACCACCAGCTGCTGTTGCGGCAGAGGAGCCCTGCAAACGGCGAATGCGAAGGGGACAGCGTGTTGGGGCATGGCGGCGGGGAAGGCCAGGGGAGCAGGCAAGGCAGACGGGGAATTGTTCAGGTCAGTCAATAGCACGCCAATCGAATTTGGAAGCATACCGGCCGCAACGGGGGAGGTGAGGGTTTCAATTAATGAGGTATGGCGTGGCAAAAGGGAAGGAGCGTATAGTCTCCATGTTGTTTCCGTCGGCTCACACGTGTTGAGTACAGTACTTACGAGTGACGGCAGGTAGGCTGACTGGATGGTGCCCTGGCATGCCATCTCGGCCTCTTGCTGCAGCGCCACGGTGGAGAGCTCCAAGAGGAGCATGACTAGCCTGGAGAGCACACAAGAGCACACGGTCAAAAGGCAGTTGTTCTGAGCTGAGGATACCTGGTAGTAGGCCCAACCGCGGATTGGAGCTGGCAAGCTTAGGTAACGGGAGCGCAACACGGCATCCGTTGTGTCCGGATAGAAGGCCAGTCCCTGACCTGCTCGACGTGTTGGTCTTCAACGCCGAGACTGGTAGAATGACCGAGGGCTCAAGGCGGCCTGACTTCTTGAGCTCCATCATCCAATCTCCAATTCTCTGCATGGGCCAGAGTCCTGTCGGATGCTGATTTGCCGCGCGCACACACGCACATGCTCATGGATGACCCCATCGAACCTGATAAAAGGGTGCCTGCTGGACTTTATCGAGGACTGGTAGCATGCCCTTAAAGTCCTGCATCAGTTGTTGCGATTACAAGGCAGTTCATGTCATCTATGTTTAGGTTACCACGTTTTCGAGAAGACTCTTCCATCACCTTCTGGGCGCGAGCCCTCCCCTCGATAATGATGTATAAGCGATAAAGCACATACTCGAGCGCTTTATTGTTACTCCGGCGAAAAGTTGTGCGACTGAGCTCAATTCCCTCTTGCTTAAGGCTAGGATTGACAATACCCAAAATGCATAGATTATGATACAATGCTTGCTCTTCAAGCGTTGGCACTTCCAATTTGCCACTGGTTACCAAGGCAGCACGCATGCTGGGTGCCGCCAGCTGCTGGCTGCCTAAAGTCCAAAACAATCACCAACAATAACGGCTGCAATGTTCTTTGTGGAAAAACCGTACTAAGGAGTATGCGAAAGCTTGCGAAGCAGCTCAAGCTGCCAATTGTCGAACTCCCTTTCCAAATTTGAGCATTGGAACTAAGCAGTACGGCATCGCTGCGCGTGTCTTGCCTCCGCGCGATCATCACGTCCAATACACAATTTTATCATTCATTATATATTGAACTTAACACGGCAAGGTTTTGGGTTAGTCGTGGGCTTAATGTCCTCGAACTTGTTGCAGGAGATTCTGGCTGAAATTAAGTCCTACCCTGATGGCATAGACTTATTAATAACAGCACTATACACTGCAGCGCACCACTACAGGAGGAGCACAAGTAGGTTGTGGGGTTTACATGCTGTCATAAGTGAACATGGCGCCTGGACCCTGGAAGGAATCGCGCACTTTGCCAGGACAGAATGCAGTCATGCTTATAGCGATAAGATTTGCATAGTTCACCACGCCCACATTCGTACAGTTGCTTTGCTGTCATTTGTCCGTACATTATCACGTTGACCGCCCCTTGGGACTTAGCGATTGCCCCATCCTGACGGCCCGACGCTTCCCGCCACCCAACTCCCTCTCCACATGCACATCCGAATCCTCCATCATCTCATGTTTCCGTCCCCTCCGCCTCACCGCACATCATCACCGCACACCCCATCCCGCCCCTCCACTCTCGGCCCTCCTCCGACACCCCCACAAACCCCCCTTGCAGTCTGCACACCCTTCCCTTCCGAGGTTTTTGCACCAGTCCCAAACACAAGCGACAAGGATTTCCAGGCCCTTCAATGCGCACTGGACGCCCTGCCGCCCGTCCACTCCTTCCTACGCTCCGATGCTGATGACTTGATCTCGAAGCTTCCTCCATCCGTCCTGGGGCTCCTTAAATGGATGCTCCTCAACCCCAGTCGGCGGCGCCGCTTCACGCTGACGACCCTGGGCGACATGGTACGCCACCTGCGCCAGCGGGCCGCAGCAGGCGGCGGCGGCGGCAGCAGCAGCGGCAGCGACGGCAGCTGGCAGCTGCCATCTCTATCCGGGCCGAACTCCCCGGCGTACATCCTGCGTGTCCACCACCATAACCTACCGCAAGATCAACAACAGGGCTTTAGCATTAGCACTACTGCTGCTGCTGCTACCGCCAATGGCACTGGCAGCAGCTTCCAGTGTGATGGCAGTGGTGGTGGCGTTATTGCGTACCACGGTACCCACCTGGAGAATCTGCACTCCATCATCCACACGGGGCTGCAGAGCATGAGCGGTACCCGTCTTCAGCGCACGGGGGCTAATTTCGGGGCGGGAATCTACCTCAGCACCAACTATGACACCGCGTTCAGGTGCGCGCCTGGGTTGTGAGTCAGTGGGATGGTGGGGGGTGACACGGCTGGGGGAGAGGTGTTTTAAGGGCGTTGGTGGGGTAAGATGGGGTTTTAGGGTCGGGAGCAAGGAGGGGTACCATCCCACCCTACACCACTCCACTCCACTCCGCCCAAACCCGCTGTATTCTCAATGGGACAATGCCTCGAGGTTCTCAACCTGCTGCTGTCCTTTTTCTGTCCACATCCTCTCCTGTCGCAGTTTCTGTCAGCCGTGTGACTCCTGGCCCCGGTCCCGCTTCGGCAGTAAGCTGCGCGCCCTGCTAGTGTGTGAGGTGGACAGAGACAAGTACACGTTGGGGAGGGGACCTGGGTGAGTGGTAGGGGCTATGTAAGCGGGGTTGGGGCGGGCGGGCGGGCGGGAGAGTGGGCGGGTGAGAGCTGACAGTCGGGGCAAGGGGAAAGGGACAGTGGCCAACGGGGCTGGGGGGGAAAGGTGCGTTTACTGCTTTCCAGTATTTGCATCGATGAAACGTTAGGGTGATGATCTGGCTGCGAATGGATATTATTAGATAGAACGCGGGGGCGTTTTGAAAGGGTTTGACCGCAGAGTGGCAAAACCGTCTGAGTGGCGTGTGGGCGAGAGATGCTAAAACACCTCAACTGTTTATCCTAAGGCCTAAAACCCTTGGACTTAAAACAACTCTCAAGACATCGGTGCGTGAATGTATGCGTTTGGAAAGCTCAGTACCGTTACGGGTTCCAGAGATCTTAATTCGCCCACCTCCGCCTTCATGCGCCCTCATGCAATCCTCATTCAGCCCTCACCAACTGCCAATTACCATTCCCCTTCCTCTCCTCCCCGCAACTTCCCAACGGTGCCCGGCTCCTCCAGCAGCGGCCCCTCGCAGGTGCCGGAGACGTACCTGGTCGTACAGCGGGCGGATGCCGTACGGCTGTTGTACATTATGTTGTATTGCGACGCGCCACGTACGGCACGGCCCGCACGGGTCAACTGGTGCACCGTGATGGTGGTGTTGTACGCGGCGTTCTTGTTGGGCAAGGCGCTGCTGGCTGCATTGCAGCAACACCGTTACTAACCAACTAACCAACAAAAATTGCCTTCTGCCAACTTAACATAGTCGCGACCCAGTGCCGCAACACAATGTTCCGTGCGCGCCATCACGCGCTCTGGAGAAGACGCCGGGCAGATACCGGCAGTTGGGTCGAGTCAGCAGGCATGGCTAAGACAGATGGGGGCTGGCCCGCGGGGGAAATTGGGAAGGGAGGGGCCGATGACGGGAAGTCTCGGAAGAGGAAAACCCCATGGATAGGGAGGGAAAGGGAAGGGAAGGTGAGAGGGGGAATCGGATGGAAGGCGGGTGCGTAGAAAGAACGGAATGGGGTTTTGTTGCATATTGTCTTTTTGTACCGGGGGTTTTGTATGGAGCGCAGCGCAGCCCCCTCCCCAATAATAAAGCTCCCCTGGGGCCGGATTTGGTTGTGGATTATGGGCCTTTTGGCTTACATGGAAGAATGAAACACAATCGCGCGCAATTCATCCATCCATTGCTTGCTTGCTTTGGAGGCAGCTTCGGACCATGAATCGGATTTCCTGACACGATATCGACGTAGATTTTTCCCGCGGCAGTCGGGAGTGTAGGTAGACATCTGGGGGCGGTGTCGATCGGTGGTGTAGTTGCGAGGTGGGGCACATGAGGCGCAGAACTGGGGCTCCAATGTGCATGGTGCTACGGACTCCGCGTAGTACAAAAAGACGTAAGACCCTGACCCCTCTGAACCCGGCTCGATGCATTCCGTGCGGCGCTAAACCGTCGAGCTTGTCGTGGCGTGTGCTTGTTACAACTTCATAGCCGCTGTTCGAGTACATATATAAACTTTCATTGTCCGAATTAATGTATGTTGTGTGACAGGGAAGACTTGCAAAATTGGGTACAAGAAGCCACTAAAAAGCAACCGTCTTGAGGACAGGATTTCAGCGAAGTGCACACCGATTGGCGATTACGATAACTGCCTCACCTATATCGCAGTGGGACATCATCCGCGCACCAAACTGGCCGAGACCTCTGTTACAGATTCTCATCAAATTCCCGCGTAAAATCTCCATAAACCTCTAATAAACCATTCCTCCTTCGTTCGGATAACGCGAGAACCAGCACGTGCACCTTGGCGGAACATTTCGTGCTGGACTGAGTTTTCCTTCTCCGACCTTGTAACCTGATGCATCGTCTCGCCTCAACGCCGTGCGTCACGCTCTCCGTGCAAGAGGCGGGCTGTCACGCACACTTTTGAAAAAGATACTGCAATGGTGTTGTCGCAGTCTCCCTCCAGACTTCTTAAAACCGCACGACCACCCAAACCCTGCTGCGTCAAGGACCACTCAAGCCATTCCGCGCATACACACGCACGGGGACTTGATGAGAGGTCGCACAAACAAGAACGCTCAAGAGTCGATCCGCCGCCACTGCCTTCCTGGTCCCTTGCAGAGACCCTAAAAGCCCCACCCGGGACCCTATCACTGCTGCCAGACATGCTTCATCTACGCGGCATGAGAAAATATGATATTTGTTGCTCCTGAGCTTCCTGACATGTCAATTTGCGTACGACCGCAAAACACACAAACGGAACCCCGGAAGGTCGCCACCCAAGACGTGACGTGACTTCACACACGCACTGCAGCCAATCTAAATAACAATCCCCAGAACAGCTGCTCGCTCCTTGACCCTCCGCATGTGCACGTGCAAACTCGACACGCAAGAGCGCACACGCAAGCCACACTCGCACGCTGCCAAGATCCCGCAAACCGGGCACCTAGGTGCTCATAATCCTTAGCATTCATCCATTCTATCACTGGTGGTCACCAACGGCCCACATTAACCTGACCAAACAAACCCAAAACGAGCATCAACAGTCCAAGGAAAAAGGAGAAAAAACAAAAAAATTATTTTGTAGCAACAATATCCGAAGAGGTTGAGGAATCAGAGAAATATGAAGGCACTGGAGAGGCGCCAGGCAGTGCTTACAGGTGCTTGAATGTAAATGCTCGTCGCTCCGTACCGGACTAGCGTGAAGTGGGCCTTTGAGTCCAGCCTTACACCCGATCCCAATGTTTAATCAGGCCACACCACATCCCAGCCACACCGCCTTGCGGCTCGCCTGCCAGTCTCAGTCTAGCCACGTCTCTGGCTTCTTTGGGTCCTCGCTTTCTAACAGCTCCGTCGTACTCTCGGCCTAGTCGGGCCTTGCCCTTACCACAGAATGTACACTACTTCGACCGCATAACTCGGGGCCTTCGGTTTTCTCTCCGCACCGCCCGGGACCTGGGGCCCCGGCCTGAAAAGGGTGGGGCTGTGTGGCAGACGCCTCCGTGCCTTGATGGGTAGCGTTGCCAGTCTAGCTCTCCACCATCGTGGCCAAACAGGTGTGATCAAGACGCAGTCCGGCTTCTCCTCGGCAATCTTGTGCACTACTCGCCCCATCTGGTCGAACGGGGGGTTAAGGTACAGCAGGCCCTGGCGACTCCACTTTCCCCAGTCTTGAGTGAAGGCATCCACCGCTAGGGCGTTGGGGCTCCAATAACGCGCAAAGAAGCGTCCTGGTACTTTCGTAGAAAACTCGTCCGCAAACACATCTACCGTAGGCCTGCTTCCCTGCAGGCATGGTTCCGCCCACAAACTTGCGAACACCGCGTCGTCCAAACACCACTGCGAGCTGTCTTCGAACTTGGAGAGCGTGTCTGCATACTGCTGTTGCTGTTCCGAGCGGGGGTGCCAGACTAGCTGGACCTCCAAGTCCCACTCCGCGCACTTCATGTACAGCTCGTCTACTCGCTGCAGGCACGGGCCCTGCCCTTTCATGCCTAGCACACACAGGG